ATGTTAGTGTCCGCGTAGAAAACTGTACTCAATAGATTAGATCAGGAGTCCCAGGACTACCCATGCCCATGTGGCCACTGAGCACAAAGGGGACCTTGTAGCTCAGTGGGCAGGTGTGATCTTTTTGCAAAATTTTTCTCATCGATTTGGGGGAAAGACAGTGAATCTTTACTCCTGCCTTATATCATCCTGAAAAGTTAATTCCGGATGGATCATAAATCTGAATTTTGTGAAAGACAACACAAAGTGCAAAGATTGCAGAGAAAAAACAGAGGAGAATATCTTCATGACCTTCCATCGGACAGAAATTTTTAAACTGGGCCCCCAAAAAGCACTCACACCACAAACAAAATGTATATATTGGTAAACATTCACATGAAAAACTTCTATTCTTTAAAACACAGCTCTAAGAGCGTCAACAGGCAAGCTGAAAAGAGAAGATACTTAAAATACTTCATCAACCATGACCTGTAGCCAAAATCCGTAAAGAACTGCTCAAACCAGGAAGACGGAGAAAGGCCGGTCCGCCGAAAAGTTCAGGTGCTTCACAAAGAGGGTGCCTCATGCCCCTGAAGGCTGAGGAGAGAGCCTCGGCCCCACTGTCTTCAGGACAACGAGTTAGTCCCCACGGGCATGACCACTCACCCACAGATTGGCCAACTTGAGAACAGCAGAACCACCCAGTGCTGGGGAGCATGGGGGCAACCGGAATTCTCAGCGAACTCTAGTTAATGCAACCCATTGGAAAACTTTCAACCTCTCCCCAAGATAGAAACATACCCACCCCACGGCCAGCAAGTGCACTGTTGGGTTCGTTCTCAACAGCCACATGCACAACACTCCCCTCGAGATGTGCCCCAAGGGTAGAAGAGGTCAACAAAGCATCCACGATAGCTCACAAGTGATGCTACACACAGGAGCATTCCCAGACCTTACACGAATATCGAGCAGAAGCCACCAGACTGAAGATACAAACCGTAAGAGTCCAGCGATCAGTTCAAAGGCGGGCAAAGCTGATGACGGGGTCACGATACCACGCACTGTGTCAGGGAGGTGCTGGAGATGCCCCCAGCTCGTTATGTGGCTTCACTTGGTGGAAATCCACGAGCTACACTCAGCAGCCCCCTACCAGCTCCTCGGAAGGCCCCTGCAGTGAAGCCCGCCTCCCTCCCCTGGCCCTACCTGTTCCTCTTTCCCAGCCCCAAACCAGCACCACAGACAAAAATGTGCTTCCTGTAGCTGATGAGAACAAGGTCATCTGTGCCCTCCTGCTCAGGGTCCTGCAGGGACGCTAGCCAGGTGCACCTCACTTTCTCATTCTCTGTAGGGAGAGGTACCATCTTCTACAGGGAAGCCACCACCTCCCGGCCGCGCATGGTGGTGCTGCTTGGGGGGGGAGTGTTTCCCCGCTGATCACTGCCTGTGTGTCCCTTCCTAAACAGCCACATTTCCTTGGCCCATCTTCAAATATTTTTCACGTTTTTATTTTGATTTGTAGAATTTCCCAGGTAGAGTAAATTCATTCGCTGTCACATAAATTTCAAGTATTTATCTGTTGCCCTTTAATTTTGTTTTGCTATACAGAAGTCATCAGTATGGACATGTGTGGGCAGCACATTTCGCACATATTTTGCTGTGGGTGCTGTGTCTGGAGGGCCTTTCCCAACCTGTTCTTGTGTATGGTTTTTAAATATCACCTCGCAAGAATATTGTTTCTCATTTACCTTCCTTATGAGAATTCTTGAAATATTGTTTTCACCTATTAACTGCAGAAAATACCATTTTCTGTAGCATGTCCTCAGACCAAGGAGACCTGGATGCTAGAGCTCACCTCTCACTCTCTCTAACCACACCCCCTCCACACCCCAACTAGCTCCATGTGGTCTAGCCTGGGAACTCAACTACCAGTAGGCGGGGAAGATACTCAGCATTTCAAAATGACTCATAAGTGGGCTCCTGAACCACAATCTCTTGTGAGTTTTAGGTGGTTTGTCTAGGCTCCGAGGCCATCAGTGACTGTGGGCGAGGTCTTCTCTGCTTGTTTCCAGTGACGCACACACTCCCACCCCCCCAAGCAGCACAGACTAAGGGGCAACGCTCCTCGCCAAGCTTCCCTACAGCAGGTGAAGCAGTGACCCTGTTCTGTGTGGCATGGTGCTCCTGATGTGGAGATGCTCCCACTATGAAGGACCCCGTGCTGGAGAGTTGTGGCCACCAGCTCTGTCCTTCCCCCCTTGCCTGGCCTGCTGCCTTGAGCAGGGCTGAGTGTCTGCTTGGGTTCTTCTTTTCCTTCCCACACCCATTCCACTACAGACTCAGCAAGCAGCCAGATGAGGCCCCGCGTCGAGGAGGGGGTGTGGAGGGGGTGTGGTTAGAGAGAGTGAGAGGTGAGCTCTAGCATCCAGGTCTCCTTGGTCTGAGGACATGCTACCTGCACCTTCCCACCCCCCCGTCACGGCCCCCCCCACCTTCCCAATGAAATCAATTATCTAATTGCTACAGTCAGTTAAAAGTGAAATTAAATGGATTCTGAACATTAATAACAGGCTGTAATAAGACAAACTACCTCTTAATGATGCATAGAACGCTGATGAAAATAAATTTCTTTTTGGGGCGTGTGTGTGCGTCAGGTGGGAGAGGGAGTTTTATCTGCTGAATTGAAATGAATATTGATTGCATGGCTGATAATTAATGATAGCAATTTTTGATTAAAAATGAGTTCATTTAGCAAACAAGTGGAGTGTGGGAGCATATTACATCTAAAAATAGAATTGAGAAGAAAGGATCCTTGTTACAGGGGCAGGATTACAATGCCTGTTTTGATCCTCATGCTGATGTCTCTGGATTTGAAATGAGCATAGCCATTCAGGCACCTCCAGGACTGGAGTCCTCTTCCTGCCCAGAATACCCACGGAGAAACAAAGACCAGCCAGGAATCACTGGCAAGACTGAGGCCACGGGAGAGGAGCCATGAGTGAACCAGATATTTCCCTCTGGAAATCCTGTGCCTTAGGGGGATTCAGCAAAAATAGGACAAAATAAAGTATGAATCTCGGAAGTGTTAAACTAAGAAAGACCTCCCACCACCACAGGGCAATCTCATCTGTGTTTATGTTTAACACACATGTGTGCACACCTCACACGTGCAACACATCACATACATGTATGCACACACTCTTGACACACAAGAAATAAAAAGCAATGTTTATGTGGCTAAGTTCAGAAATAAAATGAGAAGCCCTTCTGGTTCAGAACAGCTAAAATGCACTTCTTCTTGCTTCGTTTTGTTGGATCACGTGTGAACACCCCTTGTAAAGTCAGGCCTACACTAGCAACAGGGATCAGTTAATGGTCAGTGTCCAGGGACAGGGACCTGATACTGCCTGGGATCGGCCATCAGTTAGCAGGACAGGGCAGGAAGCCGTGCTCAGCTCTGGTGTCCTGTGGGCTTCCGGGCTGTGTGCTTGGAGGGGGACAGGGTCTGGGCCCTAACGATGCAGATGCAGAACGGAGACACCCAGAAAGCCAGGATGCCCAAAGGGCAACAAAACAAAGTAAGAAGAAGTGCATGAACTAGAGAAAGGCTAGTTTCCACAGGAGAGAGTTGCTCTTCTCAGCCATGGCTCTGAGTGAAACAGAAAAAAACAAAATGAAATAGAGGTTCCAACCCTAGAACGCACACCACTGAGAGTGAACTGGGTGTGAACCTGCCGGTCCATCGACTGTAACACACACCCCATCCGGTGGGGGTGGTGGAGGCTGGGGAACTGTGCATGTGGGGGCAGGGCTCCACAGGAAATCTCTGCTCCTTCCCCCCAAGCTTTGCTGTAAACTAACACTGCTTTTCAAAAAATTATCTTTTAAAAAATTTTTAAAAACATTTTCTAAAAGGTCCCCCTGCCTTGGGCCCCAGCATACCCTCACCTCACACTTAGTCCAAACACACTTAGGATGGTTACATTTGAAATTCACTTTCTTGGGTTGCCCCCACAAAAAAAGAAAAAGTAAAGGAAGGAAGAAAAGCCAAATATTTAGTTTAAAGAGGGCTGAACTGGCAGTGCCACAGAGCAATTAGCAGAGACAAGCTTGAAACTTACCTAGAGGGTTCTACTTTGCACATTATTCAAGGGAGCATGAGATTATAATTAAAAATCACAAAACTCATAAAAGAAAAAGCCACCTGAAGTGTGAGTCGAGGGAGGGAAAGAAATGCAAAATCAGGCCAGCAAAGCCTGAGGATATTGGAAGCATCCAATCCAGAATTTAAATAAGTGTATTTAATAAGTCCAGAGGAAGAGAAGGAACTGAATGTACAATGGGGGAACGAGGGGCTGTCAGAACTGAAAGGAGCATTTGTAAAAGAAAGAACTAGAACTTCTAGCACTTTAAAACAGAACCGTTGCAATTTAAAACAAACTGCCTGCTCAACGCAGCTAAGTGCAGTGAGAGAGCATCACTCAAAAGTTTCCCAGAGCAGCCGAGAGTCAGACAGGTTGGAAATGGGAGACGGAGCAGGAGTGATGAGCATCAGGGGCCACAGAGGGAAGGAAGGGGGGCTGTCCAGAGGGAAAAGATGGAAGGGATAGGGCAAAGCCCAGGGAGAGGAGGGGGGGAGACGTCAGTGTCACATCCGAGGAGCACTGGGAGCCCGAGTAGGATAAATCACACAAGTCCACACCCCAGCACATCCTGGTGGAAATGCAAACCACCAACTCAGCACAATGTGGGGACAGCCAGGGAGAAGGGACGGGTCCCCTGCGGCAGGCTCTGGACAGGCTCCTCCATGGCAGCCCTGGAGGCTCGAAGACATGCACTAAGGTCTTAGACGCACTGAAGGAAATACCTGATGGACCAGGATGGTAAGCCTATGACAAGACGTCAGCGAAGGAGAGAAAGACGGCGGCATTTTTAGGATAAAGCTGAGGATTTGCAATCACTAATTGCATCACTATTGAATTTCAGAGGCATGTATTTCAGGAGGATGGAAGATTCCGGAAGGGAAGTCTGTTAGCTGCTGGCTGGCATGTGTCTCTCTCTAGTTTTGCTTTCTTTTTCGGACCCAGCAGCAGCTGACAGAGACCGCTCACACACGGTTGGCGTCAGAGAGTCCCTGTGTTCACTGCCCTCAGCTGTCCTCAGCTGTCCTGTGGCTCATGCCCTCACTGCATTCAGGGTCCTTGCCGATGTCACCTGGTCCGAGGGACCGTCACTCCCCAGCTCCTCGATGGAATCTCGGGCACCAGACCACCAGAGAGGCCGGAAGGTAGGCCCACTGAGGCAAAGGCAGCAGGACCACCTCCACGGCCCCCGCCACCAGCTTCCCCTGGAGCACACTCACGTCCACCCCCGACAGGCCTTCTCCTCACTGCTCTCGGGCTGGTCCCCAGCCGCTCCTTCGCCAGGCTGCCTCTCCCTCTGGCCACAGTCTTGCACCTGGGAGCATGCCACAGCCTCCGCACCCCTCCCACAACCTCAGGGCTAAAACGCCCCCCAGCGCGACAAGAACAGCGACTGAGCGCGCATGTGGGCCAGGCGCTGCTCTCCGTGGGCTGTGACTTTATTCAGAATCAAGAGCGTGAGGAGTGAAGCACATGCAGGTGGACACAGAGCTGGTATTTCATGGAGCCCCAGGCTGCCCTACCCAGAACCTTCGCCTGCAGAGCTAATGACGGACAGACGGTGGCGGGAGGGAGGGAGGGACAGACGGGCAGGCAGGTGGGTGGCATGTTTGATTTTATAGGATTAGGCGGATAATAAGGTGCTAATTTACCCCAGGGGATGTGTTCCTGTCTGTGCAGGTCCCAAAGGGCGCCATGCACTGGTCAGGCCTCGGGCGGAGGACGGTGAGCCCACAGACACCCCAGGGCCCCTCTCCTTTGTTGTTGCCTCCCTTTACTTATTCTCCTGCCTCGCCCCTCCCCTGTCTCCATGATGCCCGCTGGCTTTCTGGGCCCCATCCTCATCTGGTCTCCCACTCACAGCAGCGGACGCCCGGCCCTCTTCTGCAGCAGAGACTCTGCGGCCACTGCAGTCCTTCTGTGACCACGTCAAAGAGCTAAGGATCCCCCTTTTAGACCATCTCTGACAGCCACAGCCACCCCGTCAGAAGTCAGAGCTCTTCGCTGGTGGGAAGAAGAAGTGGAGAAGTGAAGATGTTAGTGCAATCAGCCGGACGTCCAGGACGCTCCCCATCCTTGGGCCATGTCCACCTTACCCACCGAGCCTCCCGTGCACTCTCCTTCCCAGTGGGCCCTCTGCAGCCTTGCGTGTCCAGGAGAGAGCATGCCCACGGGACGCATGTGTGTGTATGTGCATGTGCACGCACACAAACGTGCCTTTTCATTTCTCCATCTGTCATGCACCCAGACGTTCATGTGCTCTCAGGCAGGAAAGAGAAACACAAGCATGTAATTAGTAACATGGAAATTCTAACGGTGCTGAGCGCCCACACCAGCCCGTGTGTCCCTACACACGAGGGCCTCTGAGTGTGCGCAGCTCCTGTATGTCTGGGAGACTTTCTCTGGAAAGAACTCGGGATTTGGGGTCCTGCGGATCATTGCAGGATCGGGTTTTGCATGTGTCGGGGGGAGGAAATGTGTCTGTCTCTGCTCTGTCCCCGGCCGTCTCCCCACACTCCTTAGTGTCCTGAGACTCAGCCAGCAGAGGGGCCCCACCTTCTGGGAGGGCGTCCCAATGTCCTCCACCCACCCAGAACAGACCCCGCAAGGCTGGGCGCGAGGACAAGGAGCCACAAGAGCCGTGGGGGCGACTCCCACCCCTGCTTGGGTGACACCTCTAGCTGGACTGCAAACGGAGGAAGCTCTCCTGCCCATCTCTTCCCTGTGGCTCCCGTGCAGAATGGGCCTTGTGGGTGGACGGTGGCCACAGGCAAGAACGGGGTGACCACCCTGCCCCTGCCCCACCTGGTGGGTTGAGGCCTGAGCTGCCTGAGCCCGTGCGAGCAAGAGGGGCGGTGAAGAATGTCACCGTCCAACGTTTGCATACGTTTTGGTAACAGGGACTCAAACCTACCAAACCCCTACTTGGGATCTTGGGGACCCACTTTAGGATAAGAACAACTGGGAGTGAGGCCATTCAGGCCGGATCCGTCCGTGTCAGCGGAGCTTGTGGGACCCACGAGCTTGCACACGGCTCCAGAGCTGTCAGCGGAGTGCCCGCTCTGCACCGCACGGAGCCACGGCACTCCCCACAAACACGTGGCTTATGAGGGGAGGGCCACGCACATCCCTGAGCCCCCATGTCAGGCATCCAGCCAGTAAGTGCGTCTGGGACGAACAACTGAACAATTGAACGGTGCTGGCGTTCGGAGTGGTAAGACTCACGCACAGGATTCAAGAAGAGAGAGGCTTGCGTATTTAATAAATATTGATTGGGCTCGCACCATGTGTGAGGGGCTGTTCTAGCGTTTACAAGACTGAATGAAACAGTCCAGTATAAAATCCCTCATAAACTCCAGCTGGGGCAGGCGGCCAGCCCAGCAAGTAAGTTGCATTTCATGGTGAGAGATGAGTGCTTTATGGGAAGGACAAGGTAGGTGGTGGGGGAGTATGCGTGTTTGCGTGCATACGCGTGTGTCCATGCACGTGTGTGTCCGTATACGCGTGCTCATGAGTTCACACGAGGCGGTCTAGACAGAGCCTTGCAGGAAGGGAGGGGTGGAAGCCAGGGGTGGCGCAGGCACCTCCAGAGAGCCGGGCCCTGGGGACAGCGGGAGTTCTGTGCCGCCAGGGAGGGAAGGGGAGGGGAACCCTCGTGGTACCGCCCAAAAGGGGCACACTGCACAGGGGCCAAGAAATAGGAAGTCTTAACCGGAGGACATAAATTAAAGGAAGACACATTAAAAAATGGAGTTTGCCTTTGTCTTGGACAGGAAGACGCAGTTCTATAGAGACCCACACCCAGCGAAGCCCTGTTTTATGTACTAGGGACACCACCTGGAGCCCAACGGGCCAGAGTCCCGGCTCTCACGGTCCCTCCGCCTGCCCACGCTCTCCGGTGCACTCTTCATGGACTCAATCGAAATACCAACAGGCAGTTTGAAACTTTATAAAATATCCTCAAGTTATCTGGGAAAAGGAACTCGCCACCCAGGAATTGGGGTCGGAAAGAGCTGCCCCCACATGGGGTTGTAACACATGCGGCCGCTCCTGCCGCAGACGGGAGGTCGGCACCACATAATTTCCATGACCCAAACGTGCAGGACTGCGGTCCAGGAAGAGGTGCACGGAGGCAGGAGTGGGGGCCGCCTGGTGACCACGGGGGCAGCAGGCGGCCCTTGGGAACGTGTGAGGTTGGAGTTTTGTGCCACTTTGTGCAAAATCACAACTCCAGACGGGTCAAGGTCTGCAAAGGGAACCACAGGGGAAACCTGACACAGGAAGAGTTCAAGGTGTCGTCCGCAGACCGCACGTGGGAAGATAAGCACAGCCTCATAATTGAAAGGAAAAGGCATGAAAGGGAAACACACTGTCATACATGTCACGGTAAAGCCTCCTCGTGTGTGTGTGTCCATGCAGCACACGCTCCCCTCTCCGGGGCTGGGGCCCTCAAGAACATGAAACAGGCAGCAGGGGGGTGGGCGCCTGGCCGGCTGCCGGAATGAAAGCCTGGAACGCTCTCCTGTCCTGGGCAAATGCATGTACGTGGCATCCCTTTGAGACAGAGGCCAGGGCATTTCGGGCAGAGGACGGGGACCCCTGCAGGTGTGGAATTCGGACATCTGGGGGGTGGACTCGGAGCCCCGACAGAGAAGCCATGCAGGCAGAGGCGGCCCCCCAAGGGCCAGTGTATGTCCCCTCCGTCCTGACATTGCCCGAGAGACAAGGCCGTGGCATGGCTCGTCCACAGGACTGGAGAGACAGCCCTTCCCCCATCGCTCTGAGAGCAGGCACCGCCTCCAGCCACGCACTTGGCAGGCGCAGTTTGTCGGGATTACGGTTTCTTATTAAATGACAAACTCGCCTCCTCTGGGCCCAATGACCTGGGGTCAAGGGCTGTCGGCTAAACACACCCTTGGTCATTTCGGTTTCCTCTTTACCGGAACCCCAAAGTCACCCGACCTTGCCAGGCCCCCGAAACACAAAGCCTCTCCTGGCACGGTCCTGAGGTTCCGTATTCAGCACTCTGGGCGAGGGTCAGCCGTTCTCATTTCTCCCCTCAGCATCCTGGAAACTATGCTAAAACCCCGCAAATTATCTCCATCTCTGGTCCAGCAGCCCGTCTGCATTAGGTCTCCACGTCCAGCTCCAGACAGACAGACAGCACGCCTCTACCCATATGTGCGTTTACTGAGAGAGAACTGCTTGCCTTCCGGTCCCTTCTGTCTGATTTAGTACAAAATGCCTTTCCTCTAAGACCAGAAAACGAATACCAGCACCATTCACTGATCTGCTTGATAAGCCAGTACCAAACCCTGCGTGTGCCTGGCGCTGGGTTAGGCTGGGGACGCAGGGGCGCTGGGGAACGGACCCTGGGGTTGGAGGCGCAGGCATCTGCATCTCAAGTGACCTTGGCAGGCTGTCGGCTCCCTGAGCTGCATCTGTAAAATGGTTCCAACAGAGTCTTGCAGAGCGGGCTGGCCGCGATCACGCAGCCTGCAACGCAGCTGGGTTCCGTGCTCACCCGGCGGGGAAGTGGATTTTCTCTCCCCCACAAACACATGTCAACATAATCCGGCATCTGAGAGAATCCTCAGCCCTGCAGTCTGTGTTCCAAGCTCCGAGGGTTCTCTAAGAGCCCGAGGGCCTGTCTTCCCTGCGCTCTCCCCTCTGCCGAGGACGGACTGTGCCCAGGGAGCGGCTGGGAGGAAGGCCCCTCTGCAGGCGTCCAACATCTTCCTCCCAACCCGCTGTGCTCCCCCTAGAGCTCGTCATCTGTGGAAATAGAAGAGAAGATGCATATTTTGGTTGCTCTAAATAAAATTTACTGGTATGTGCAGATTTCATGGCTAAGTGCCTTTTTTTAAAAAGCTTCCATCGCGCCATTTCTACCCTGTTGACTGGCTGTTCCATATTATCTAGTGTAATTAGATTTAGACTTTCAGCCAATCTTAAGCATCACTTCAGCTGCCTCAGAAAAGTGAAGGAAACTTTCCAAATGTTCTCCACAGTGTGACGTGGAGCCCAGGGACTGTGGCAGCCGCGCCAGGCTTGGGGAATCTGCTCCTGCCCCCAGCGGCTGGGGACGGGAGATCCCAGCACAGGAGCAGGCCAGCCCCAGGCCCACGCCCCACCCCCGGCCTCGTTCCCTCTCTCTAAGTAAATGAGGCTGCGGGGCTTTGGGAAGTTGCCAGACACTTTCTATGAGGAGCTGTTATATCAGATTTCTCAGCAAGAAAGAAACAAGGAAATTAGCGTGCAGTTGAATTCAAGACTAAAATTAGCCATCTTGAAAAACAAATCCTGATAAATACAACCAGGATTTATGGCTGAGATTACAAGCAGCACAGATGGCCTGTGATGGCGTTTTATCTCAAGGGAGAGAATATTCTTTTTACATTAGAACATCAGCATTATAGGTTCGGGGATTATGATGCAGAATCTTACACCGTTTTGTACACACAGCCCTCAAAGGACCAGGCTTGTGGGCTCTTTGGAAGGTGCTGGGCTCACACAGCTGGCGCCCCCGCCGAGGGTCACTGTGGCCAGCCCCCCGCCTTTAGGCCGACGGCTCAGAGCCTGCTGTGACGTTAAGCAGATGTCCTCTGGTTTTCAAAGGCCCCCAGCAGAGGAAACTCCACGCCAGTGGACCGTAGTGTCTTCGCCGCATCTGTGCCCAGGTTGGAGGCCATGCTACGCTCCCACACTGCACATCCCCGCATCTCTTGGCCTTCGCTGGGGCTTTGGGCAGGAAGACATCACAGCTATGCACCCTGACATACAAGGGAGGCACCAGCCTGCTACAGATTTCATTCCCGTTAAGCTATTTTCTTCAACAAAATAAAGACACAGGATGAAGGCTCCTCAAAAGAACAAGGCAGCCTTGTGTCTCGGGGGCCACGGGTCCTCTTGGCTGGAGGTGGCCCAGAAGCCTCTAGCTGCAACCACAAGAGATCCACAGTGTCCTTCTGGGGTGGAGAATTTATCTGCATGCTGAGTCCCAAACATGGCCAGACCTATCACAGGGAAAGGCAGCCAGCGTGGAAAGGGAACCCAAAATGTGGACATCATTGTTTGGAGGGCTTTGTAGAGCGTCCTTCTGGACACGTACCCCCTTATCATCAAGGTGAGCCAGTGAGCCCAGATGGGTCTCACCGCGGTGAGCGTCCCGTGAGGCCAGGGTGTCAGTGTGCTCAGAGAAGGGAGGGGGTGTCTGGTCCTGCAGAGACCTGCATGGACAGCGACTCGGGCCTGCAAGGAGCTTGCTCACTGTCCCCTACAGGGTGTCCTTCCTGTGTAACTGGCCACACTTTTCCTTGTGGATTTTCATTTTGGTCATTAATGCCCCAAGTGCAGATCATTGATACAGAGCTTTGGAATTATTGCTTTTTGCTTTGTACTTTGAAATAATTTTAGATGTTGTTTAGATGTTGACACAGGCATGGGCGCATTTATTAAATTTGGCAGCATGAGTAAATGGTGTAGACACTGAAACTAAGAAATGAACACTGATACTAGTCTGAGAACTGCGACTGTTGTCACAGCAATACTGGTCCGTGGGCTAAATGAAGGACCCTGTGCAAATCCACCAGGTTTCCCTCAAAGTCGTCCTCTGCCCCAGCATCCGTCCAGAACATGCTCACCCAGTGCCGTGACCCCTTAGCTTCCTCCGTCTTGACAATGTCTCAGCCTTTCGCTTTATCATGACCCGGACACCGCGTCAAATTCCGGTCTTGCGTTTTGGAGAACGCTCCTTCATGTGTGTTTTCCCATGATTACACTAGCGTACGTGTGGGGGCAAAGAGCACAGAGGTGAAGTGACCTTCGATCTCACCATGTTGGGGCACAAGCGCAAAATGCCACACAGGTGACAACAGCTTTGGCACGTGGTGGGGGGCGGTGTCTGCTGGGTCCCTCTCCCTGCCGCCCCCTTTGTCAGAGATGAGTCGGTAGGTCCTCACTCACAGGAGGAAGGTTTCCTCCTCTTCTGCATCTTTGGAGAAGCTCCCAGGTTTGTGGTGCTCTAAGACACCCCAGGCCCATCCTGTGCTTCCTCCGATGAACCCCTGTTCCCTCCACCAGGTATTTAGAAACCAAGCTCAGGACACCGGGTGTGCTCACTGCTTCTGAGCCATCGCTGTGGACAGAGCTGGATTTTACAGGTGTGCGTGTGTGTGTGTGTGTGTGTGTGTGTGAGATTCTGGTGTGTGAATAAAATACAGCTCCAGAGTGTATTCTAGTCTTCTCTCTTCCTTAACTATAACTGCTTCTCAGACAGTGAGA